TCTCTCTCTCTCTCTCTCTATCCGTTTGAGAACGTACAACACAGAATGGCCCACTCTTTCATTTCTTTTTTTCTTTTTATCCTTGTTCGTCCGCAAGCTGCATACTGGCCTCCTTTTCTGCCAGTTCATTTCCACACACGGCCTGTCCACTCCTTCGCTCTCTCTCTCTTTAACTTTCTCTCTCGTTCATAAGTTACAGCACCCTCCGTTGCATTCTCTCTTTCTCGACTGATTTCTCTTTCACTCGGTCGGCCGCAGCCTTGATCGTTCTTTCTCACTCTCTTTCTCTCTCTCTCTCTCTCTCCCGCTCTCTATCGTTCCTCCGTGCCCTTCGTTTCCATGCAACCTCCCTCAGTGCGTGACGACGGGTCCGCGGGCCACGGAGAGCCAGAGAGACGCGCGCGCACGGCCATGTTTATACTCGGTTTCGGTGGCGTTTCTTTGTCACGTACGATGCGTTCTTATCGGTGCACGCTGCAATATTAATCGCGCTTGCGGCCGGTCGCACGACCACGTGCGCTGCGTAATTTTTTTTTTTACCCAGCCGTGGTCGTTCCCTGGCGGTTGGGAAGTGTCGTTCCTCAACTCTGCCGACTGGAACGCCGAGAGCGTGCGCCGACGCGTATGTTGGCCTCCTCGGCTCTGATCGGTGAACACGTTGCCCGAGACCGACGAAACGTACGGCCAACCATACACTCGGCTTGGACAGCGAACAGTGGCTTTTAACCTGGAGGACGAAACGCGACGTGGATCGCTCGCCTCCGCGAGATGGAGGAACTGCATAACGGTGTCATCCTGATTAAGTGTAAGTTTCCGTGAGTGCTTGTTCCCTATTATTTCGTGTGCGGCGCAACGGGAAACGTTTCACCCCTTCGATATCGCCGTATTCAAACGATTGTGTCCAAACCTAAAAACACAAAGTATCTGTCGTTAATTTCGAAACGCATTCGCCAGATTCATGTAGGATAGAATGATTCTTTTCCATTTGAATCGATGATGGTTTTTTTAGTACAGTTTAGACAAAGTACAGACGATTGTTTGTAAAAATATTTGCCCTCGGCTCAGTGGAAACGTTGCTGAAAATACGGAATTGATATACTCTGTGCGGCTGGTTCCGTTGCGACACAGTCGATCATTGTTCCCGGTAATTGGCATCGGCACAGTTGTGTGGAAACGACGAAACGCCCCGTGTCGTGCAGCGTCAGCATCAGAACAGTGCTCGTTCCGCGTTCTTCGTGCATCGTCCATATGTCTTTCTCTGTTCTTTCTCCTCCGATTCACCCGAGTATCGTTTCACGACGCCTGTCGCTTATCGTCTTCGTCAAAAAGAAATTTGTGTGCAACGCGAGTCCGTTCATGAATCATGGTGGCGGATTCTCAGTTCGACGTAACGTACCGGTAAAACTTACCGTGAAGATGAATTACATCCTGTTAATAGTTTATTTTCAATATATTCTCTTCTATTTATATATATATATATATTTACGTACATACATTCGTATGTTACACATAATATATAAATTTTCAATAACTGTACGAAATCCATGTGCGAACTCTTGACGAAAGATAATTTGATTTCTTTTAGGTTATAAATGCCCGGTCACATGTGAAGAGCGTTAAGTCGTGAAACGACAATGCGAAGGCCCGAGACGTATGAAACGCGGCTGCGTGTGTTTACGAACGCGATACGAAAAAGTGGACTGCATGTTTTTGCCACGGGATTGAAGTGCATTTGTCGTAATCGGCCGGCACGCCTTCTATCGTGTTCGATCCGGTAGCTGCGGCACGCGCGACACCTGTGAGATATCGATTTAAAATTCTAATTCGTTTCGATTCGAGTTTTGGCCAAATGTTTGAGCCAAACCCCATTTGGGACTAACGTCCACGCGGGGTTAGTTAATATGGTAATTTATGGACCGAGTGATGTATGGCCTTATAAACCAGCGGCCGAGTTGATATCGAATGTCTGCTAGATTGTGTATAGGACCTGTTATTCGCGCGTGGGCGTGCTTTCTCTTGTAAAAGTGCGGATTGAAATGTCACACTGGCCGGGCGGTATTTCGCTGGCTTATTAAAAATGTCCAGCTCGCTTTTATTATTACGCACGTAGATGAACCGGTTGAGATAGTGAAAGGGAACAAATAGGTACTAATTTCTATCTTTCGATAGAGCAACACCCGGTAACTGTACATCAAACAGTCTCCGATTGAATATTCATAGATGGCCGGGCGAAAAAATATCTTGTTTTCGTTCGCGTATCTGCCAGGGGAGCTTTCGTGCGATACGGCCACGTGGTTTTCTTCGCGCGTCTCTTTTCTGTTTATTGCTCTCAGTCCCGGTGTACGTTAAATTACCCGGTCCGGGCAATCTAAAATCTCTCCCAGCCCGATGTCAGATTTATTAGCAAGCGGAGCTTTGCTTTTCGCGTGTTTAGATAAATAATATTCATATGGCGTATGATTTAATTGCGCGTACATGTTAGTCGTCCCAAAGAACTAAAAAAAATAAAAAGATGGGGTACTGACCATCATAAGCATCGCGCGTATGGAACCGCAAATGGCAATTAGTAATTGATAATGGCAATATACGTAATTCGATATAACCTGCATTATTCGCGAGTCATTTCGCTTTTCCTAAAAACCTGTTTCACTTTACTTTTCCTCTCTATCATAGACATGCATTACACATACGTATGTAAGTTAATATGGTGTTCAATACCTTTCAATGCACAGCGTTTTATCTTCTTTCAACCTTCAACCAATGCAAATCTTTTCTTTTTTTGTAATATTATTTAACTTCGTTCGTTAGACGAACAAATACGATTAATTATGCAAGTTATACAATGCGACTATTGTACAAACATCTCTGATTTTGGTGATATCTTACCTGACTGATATCTCAGATATCTCCTATGACTGTAATCTTCAAATTATAGTCTTGCCAAATAACGATTTAGAACTAGGGGACCTTCTCTCGTTTTGCATCATCAATAGAGATGCATTTTCTAACTTTCTCTTGTCACTGATCCGAGTGAACTAAAATTCAAGGTTACCAACCGCTCCCAACAAATGAAGAGGAAAAAAGAAGAAAGAACTCATTGATCGCTTTCCGAATGATTGTTTATAACGGTCGAGGCCATTGTGCCATTATATAACATCCTGTGGAAGAATACGCGCGAATACTTTTGCGTCCCCATTGCAAAATCATAGTAGCTGTATAATGAAACTGGTTCGGTTCTCGCCGCCGGGGAGGAACAGTTGCCGCCTAATCTCAGTTATGCGCGTTTAAATGCGAACCGGGTAAGGGGCCAGGGATAACCGGGTGCGTAGTTGCAGTAAATTCGGCTCCCCGCTAGCGAAAAAGGAAGTATTCCCGTGCCGATGACTCCTCGAATCGCGGACTCTGTCGTCAGAAATAAAGTTAGTGGGGAGCACGTGTGTCACTGTAAAAAGCTGGCCTCTCCATGAGCAGCTCACACGACTCACGGGGCCACATACAAACTCTACGTGCTTACAATGAACGTTCAAGTGGCGCGCTGTTGCCAGACTTATATAGGCTCACGCTCCACTAGTTGCTTTTAACTAATTGACGCGTCCTAAAATTAATGGCCGCACACTGTAAAACGCAAAATGCCACCTTTTTTCTTTCTTGCTTGCTTGTCAAGCCAAGTGGTATATTTGGATTGTTTTTCGATGGGTAATTGCCCCTGACAATTAAATAATTTGCGGGCACGCGAATTAATTGATTGTCGGTGTTGTAAGGGATGCGAGTTAGGTTAGGAACTGTAAGATATCAAGTATTTGATGTATTTAGCTTGCTCTCAACGAGGATCGTTTC